CTGCTTATCTTTTCGTGTGGTTGATGGGCTATTGCACGAGGTTCATGTGGTTGGTGGGCAATTGCATGGGGTTGGATTTATCCGGTGGTGCGCGCATTATAGGTTAGCAGCTGCGGGTTTCCTTGGACGACTCGGAATTTTTTTTTTTTTTTTTTTTTTAAAACGAAGACTTGAAGATTTAATAAGCTTTGATGTATAAAATAAATACGATAAAAGCCATATTTTAAAACACTTCACCACAAATTTTTATCATGCTGCATGTGGAGAGAATATCAATATATGCAGTAAGACAATCATGTCTTCGTGAGAGCAATAGCTCTTCCACCTAATCACTTTGACTTTACAATAGTTTCCTGCGCAGTAAAACTGCGCATCAGAGCTTTCACATCTTTTATTATGAATTCGGCCACAACCCATCGTTTCGTTGTAGCAATGGTTTAAAAGGTTCCTTCCTATAGTCTCGACTGGCGAAAAAAGAAATACACGGTTCACATTACAGAATATACGTCAATTTTAATAATATGCATGAAGTTCATAAAAAAAAAAATGTACGTACTAATTAAGTTGTTTAAATTGATTTATATCAAGAAAGAACAAACAAACAACTTATTACCTTTTGCTTGAAATACACGAAACCAATCCTTTGACAAAGCCATGCGGGCATAGTCAAACGCAATAACAACTAAAAACAATAATTGTTTTTGGCCCAATTTGTGCCATACTTTGGCTAGTTTCACCTCGAAACCTTAGTCCATACGCATACGCAAATTTGTCAAAGGTTACAATATCCAACTGATTAAACAGCGCAATTTGTCTTCTTCATTGAGCTTGAGTATCGTTGTTTGTTCATGCATGATAACTAGCTACTTTCAGAATCTATCTTGTCCTGTGCCGATATATATCGATGTAAAGGCCAACCCGTTCCTCGTCTTTTTTTTTTTTTTTTTTTTTGACACAGAGGTATCCGGATCAATTCTTACGGGGCCGACTAATCCCCTGCGACTCGGGCCCGATGCCCCAACCCGACCCAAACACGATAAGTGCACGGAGGAATCCAGCAGAACAGAGACTCAAATTCGAGACCTATTGATCACCTGTGGAAGGTGCTACCGCTGAACCATTCACGCGGGACCTTCGTCATCTTCATCCTACGTTCCCAATTGTAAGCTGTAAATTCCATATATAGTTTCTTCTCCATGCTAACACCGGAGGCATATTATTAATTCCAACAATCCAAAAACCACACCAACGCACCCAAGCTAGATGTGGAGGATATATAGGATGTTCACTTTGATTGACGACTTTCGATTTCAAATACTTTTGGCACGTGTTTTATATTTAAAAAAAAAAAAAAAAAGCCTTTTCCACTCTATCATTTTTCTTTTCCCTTTCTTAATTTGGAGGTGGCGGGGAGTGGTTGGGGGGGGGTTTGAATTTAACCCAGTGCAGATAATAATAATTGTTGAATTAAACGACTTTGGTGCTCAAATTACTCCAACTGGGCAGCCTTTGTATATTCTCCACGTTATTAATCCAAAGATACAATTGGGGGAGGGGGAGGATTTGGGTTGACATTCCCCTTAACAACAGGTTTTTTCACTTAATTTGTGCGTCCTTCTCTTCTTAAACGAAGACGAAGGAAAAAAGATTTCCATCAGGTATATATATATATGTATGTATAACTTGATTTTACACTCTGTCAATATGTTTAAAAAAAAAAACAGTTGTCATCGATCTTTGCTTTGCCATTTTAATAATGATTTACAACGCATTAATAATTAAGAGTATTAGACCCTATGTCCATCTCAACAAGTTACCTCCTAACATTCGGTTATTGTTACCAAATCCTTTGAGCCAAGATTTTAGTCAGAAGATGAAATTATAATTGCTAATGCAAGCATTAGTTTAATCGAATCATTAGCTCCTGGTTGCTCGATCCTATGAATCATATATACCAAGTACTTGTTGGCAGGATTCTGCTGTTAGCCAGAAAGCATCAAGTTGACATGGTGCTAAATAGTTTTTGATTAGCATTAAATGGGAATCATCAAATCTGATTTTCATTATATATACATAATTGAGCTCTCAAAAAAAAATATTTTTTTCAAAGAAAAAGAACTTCGTAAAACGTATGATTAGCACGAGAAGAATAAACGCATGGCAAGCACGGATAAAATAATACTATGAGTACTGTTTTAATAGTATACTTTAAATCAAGAGAAAGCCTCGAACCATCAAATCAAGGCCAGCGGAGGAGTTGAATGGGAGCAGGAGATGGAAGGCAAAGACCGGATTTTTGGATTAACCAAGTACCCTAGAAACACAGGCGAATTTCTTCCCAATTCCTACTTACTAGCTTGCCTATTATTTACTGAGCCAATCAAAAGCCCTCGCCGACCGAAAAAAATAAATACCCACTTATATGTACTCTTTTTTTTTTTTTTTTTGTTTTTTTTTGAAATTTCCTGTAACTACATAACATACTATGCCCAATTTCTCGTAAAGGTAATTTTCATTTGCTACTGCATCCCTACATTTTTTATTGCACGGTAATCCAACTTTAAGATATCTTTCGAAGTTACAAGTAAAAAAAAAAAATCACTGGAAATTGATATCCAGTTAATGAATATACAACAACTTCTCTCTACTGCACATCTTCTCCGACTTCTCTCTACTACACTTTTTTTTCTGAATCCCTTTCTCTTCGGCAAGGAGATCACTGTGGTCTCCCTCTAATACATTTCGTTTTTGTTATTTTCCTAATAAAGTCTTCCCTGATTTTTCTCGTAGGAGATCTCTATTTCTTTTAGGGTTTCTAGTGAGAATTTTTGTTCTCCTAAGAGTTTCTAGTGAGATTTTGTGTTATTTTTCTTTGTTTTGTTGTTTAAATTTGAATTTACTTCAAATCTAGTTGTCAGATCTGAATTTATTTTAGATTTGGATATATGTCAGCAGATTTCATCATCTTTATTGGAACTTACAATTGTTGATTAGCAGATATGATGATTGTAACATACATAGAGTGGTTTGCAGCAATTTATTCTATGAGGAGATGTTTTTAAAATTGATGGTACTTTTTAGATCTGTTCTTAATTTTTCAGGTCTTTTGTATCTATTAAATTGTAGATCTATAATTTTAGTGTATGTTTTATTTTCTATTAGGGCAATGAAGTATATCAATAGTGTTGGAAGATTCCCAGTAATTCGTTAATGAAATATGTTTTGTTATAAAAAAAAAAAAGTTAATGAACATACAACAACATAAGACCTAGCAAATATATAAATAAATCATAAGACTTGGCGAATATCAATGCAGTTTCATCAAATAAAGGTTTATTGTTCATCAACTACAACAAATTCCGCCACTATATTTTCATGATAAGTTTACGTAACTTACTTAAGAGAGTAAGAGACGCAAAAAATGATCCCCATTTGTTACTTGTACATGTCCAACTGGTATGATTTCAGATTGAAAAGCAAAAAAAAAAAAAAAATCACAAGAATATCGATCCAGCCGGTTGGCTCCCGTGCGTAATTTTCGTCACTATATACGTCGTCTAAGACCGTGCATGATTTGATTTCTGAATAAGAATCACAAAAGAGACAACTTAATGATTACTACTCATTAAGAATTAAACTAATGTTGAAAAGGAGACAGGCTACGATTACTTACTTAATAAGAATTACAAGCGGATAAAGACGCCAGCTGATGCCACTCAAGTTAACTGACCTCTCAGTTGATCCCCAGACTTAGATGCTGCACTGCTAACAAGTTCAAAAAGAATACGACTAGTTGGTTTTGTATTTTGGTACTCTAATGACTGGATGATGATAAATTAGGAGCAAGCTAGCTATTTTAAAAGATTAAATTAGTCCCACTTCCTACTGCATTTACAAGTTAAGTTAAGTTACAGTAATATGAAGCGCAAATGTTTCAGGCTTTGGGTCGTGAGAATTGTTAGATTCACGAGAGTAAGGATTGTATTCGATCCACGTTAGTTCGAGATACAGAGAAAGAACAATTAACATGTAAGTAAGAGTTCGAGACCTAATGATTTAAGTTTTTGAACTCTCTCGAAATCTTTCTCCCTTGTTTACAAGGGTGAAATTAAAAAATGAATGGGAATGGCTTGAAACAGATATACGTAACTGGTGTGGTGTCTACGAAGCAGGTTGAAGCCTGCTTAATGACACAGCTCACGGTTCAATATATACGTATGTATATTGGAATGGACTGATGACTATATATTATGCTTCCAGTTCTTTTTTTTTTCTTTTTTAAATTTTAATTTTGTTGTTTTCTCCTTCGCCTCCTCTTTCTTCGTTCGTTTGTTTTGTTCTATTTGTTGGTTTTGGTCCCCGAATCCCAGCGGAGGAAGAAAGAGCATGCCTATATATAATTTTGGATAATGCTGTCGCGATCCTTCCTTCTTTTATAATGTGGCATGCAAACCTACTCTTTTAGCTAAGACACGAAAAACAGGCTTAATTATTTTGTGACAAAATTTTACAGGTCAAAGGATTCAGTCGGTCACGATGCCCGATACAGTAACTCGTCCTGGTAATTTGGAGTTAAGTAACCGTAAATTTTCTCTGTGGCTTTGCAAAGGTTTGGGAAACAAAAAAAAAAATTCATTACAATATGATCTTTTCTAAGGCAGATATCTTTACTAGTGTACAAGTCTACAAGCAAAGCAAATCGACCAGTCAAGTACTACGTACGATTAAATTAAAAAAAAAAAGGGTTAAAAACTCGGCCCGCAACTTAATTAATTCCACAACAATCTCACATCCCCACCACCCAAAAAGAAAAAAACAAATTAAAGAAGAAAAATATATTGAGAAAAATCTCAGTTGCTGTAAACATGAGGGGTGTTTTTATTGAAATCTTCACCTAATCCCCATCACACCCCTTTAAATTCCAAAGCATCCTGCAGGTCTGCTAACCTCAGCACCAAGCTTCCAATTTCTCTTGCGTCTCTCTCTAGTCTCTTCCCTCCCTCACATCGCAGAGAATCAAGCTTGTTAAAGTAGCAGAATTTGAGATACGACCTGATCTCCATCATCTTCGTATCCCTCGAAGTTGACGAGAAAGGAAGATGGGGTGTAAACATGCAGACAAACCAAAGCAGAAGCACAAGAAAGGTTTATGGTCTCCAGACGAAGACTTGAAGCTCAAAAGCTACATCCTCAAACACGGCCACGGCTGCTGGAGCTCCGTCGCCGTCAATGCTGGTTAGTTTTTAACTCACCAATATCCTTATCCTCCTCTGCCGCCCACTTTTCTCCTCTCGCTTATTGTACTTCCCGACAACCATGAAGCCCGCATTCAATACTAGCTCTCACATGTTTAATTCTCATCCTATTCTATCATTTCCAGCATGTAAATTTTGTATCTCACATTAACCTGGTTTGTACGACGTCAATGTAGGCTCCATGTTAATAGCGTATAACTATATCTGCATGTTAAGTAGTGCAGGGAAAAAATGGAGCAAGCTTCTCTCCATTGGGAAAAATAGAGTATAGGTTTATTGATGACCTTAAACATTGTCAAAAGGCGCTTATTAGCCTTTGATTGCACTGGTTAATGCTGTTATCTTAGCAAGAAAAACCCTTTCTATATTAAAAAAAAATCAAATTGCTAGTAAGCATTCATGGTTTACCTCGATATTATTACATTACTAGCTGCCGCTCCAGTTTAGTAAGTTGACCATAGCGAGGTTTTAGAGCCATTAGTCGATGACTTTCCAGATTAATGAGTTTGGCCACTATATTGGGTATTAATTTAAAAGTGCAAATATGGAAAACTGCGTTCTCACAGCTACAAGTCAAAAGACGAGGGAATTTTTCGTTAATATACAAGATGTTCAAGTGAAAGAGATTGACGGATGACACGTTCCATATTATTTCAACCAACATTATTGGGCACGATGGTTGACTTGGTGTTTTTCTCTCTTACTTGCAGGTCTGCAAAGGAATGGAAAGAGTTGCAGGTTAAGATGGATTAATTATCTTAGGCCTGGACTGAAGCGAGGAATGTTTAGTGTAGAAGAGGAGGAAACAATTCTGACCCTCCATGGCATGCTCGGCAACAAGTAAGAAGCTAATTAATTTTGCATCTGCATGCGCCTGATTTTAACAAGCTATTTCTTTTCCACATACTACGCGAGATAGGTACTGACCTAAATTAGTGTGTATATGTTTACGGTGTTAGTTAGATTGTGGTTGACTTCTGAACATTCAAGTGATAACATTGTTATACTACCAAGTATATGTTACTAGCATATTTTCACCTGCTTGGCAGCATAACTGATTGAAATTGATTAGTTCTACAGTTTTTTCTTTCTGTCTTGGATAGAATAAAGTTGATTCCATTAGCATTCTATCTCTGACAGGCCCCAACTACTCATATAATTTAATCACGTATGCTACTTCGTATTCTTGCATCATGTAACAATGTCTGAGAAGGAAGGATTTGACAAGGATATTAGAAACACAATTTTTTTTGGGTAGGAAGCAGTGTTCTTAAGGTGGTTTCTGGGCGAGTCCTAGGGCAGGACGAATCTCAAATGTCCTGGAGCGATTGAATGGGGTATAAGTGTTGTTGGGTGTTTTTTAATAATCTTACAAAATGATTTCATTTGTTTTTCTCTTTGAAAATTGTTTGGGAAAAATACAAAGTAGAAATGTTCATGATATTGTTTCTTATTCATTTTTCCTTTACATTGATGTCTAGATATAGTTATTTTTTACTAACATGACTAGATGATTAACATATGATTTAGAGTTTAGATAACGATGGTTTTGAGTAGTGAAGAGTGAAACATTGAAGAAGTTTCCATTCATTCTATTCGGATCTGTATTTTTCAGGTGGGCACAGATGGCACAGCATATGCCTGGAAGAACAGATAACGAGATAAAAAACTACTGGCACTCTTATCTGAAGAAAAAAGTAGCCAAAATAGGTGAAACTGAAGCTCAGGCCAAAGCAGAGAAGTCAAGTTCAGCAAGTTGTTTGGAATCTTCACCTTCCTCGATGAAGTCAAATCCCCCAACTTCTACCATCGAATCAACTGAACAATTGGAGAGCTCATTGATGTCAGACGCAGAACAATCTGTTTCTCAGTGTCAGATGGACCTTCCAAGAGAAGCTTGCAGAAGCAACTTGCCCAGGGTACTATTCGCCGAGTGGCTTTCATTAGATCAATTTCGAGACCAGAACTGTGAGAGTTCAGGAAATCCAGTGGTTGCCACGAATAATTTGGTTTACTACAATTCCGACTTTCAAGATTCTTTCATGCATGACTTATTGCTCAACGAAGGAACATTTGGCGGGGGAAATCACCAGGGGCTAAGTAATGGCGCCGTGGACGACATCCTGCCGCCAGCTCTCAAGTTTGAGGACCAAATTCTAGAAAACAGCTTTGTTGATTTTATAAATGGCCGTTTCAGTCTGACCAGTGATGACCTATATTTGTGAGGTGATGTTTGGTAATCCGGGAGCTGCTCTGGGGAAAGAATACAGCAGCACATGAACTTTCGTTTGGCAATTTAGTCTGCATGCACAGAAGCAATAAAAAGATTAAGGGTTCATCATTTGGCCGACAGTTAGGAACATGAAATAGGTCCAATTGGTAGTTTTTGTTCCCACGAATTTGCTTTCCAAAAGAACATTTTCTTGTAATTGTTGTACATGTACAAATAAATTCTCTACGCACTAATTTCAAACTCGCTTTCCTATCATTCATACAGAGACACTCCTGATACAAAGTGGCGAAGAATAATTTCCTGGACGGAAACAAAGAGCTGGTCTCCAAAGCAGCTACTAAATTTGGATCCAAAAATGTTGAGTAAGGTGCTTAATTAAATAATTAGTTGACGAGGTAGTTGTCTAGAATTCCAATGAATCTAGAATGATGTACTCATAACTATTAATGGCTCTTGTAAGTACCAAATAAATATGAGAGAAATGAATCAATAACTGAGCCTTTACTCCAAATATTCTTCTCAATTCTTGGCCTAATACCCACAGCAGTAAAAGAAAACTGACACATTACTCCCAAAATCCAGCAGCAGCACGGAGTATTAAGCTTGTCACTTCACAATTACACGCTAATATGCAGAAAAATTTTAGGTAAATGCTTTGCATTGCACCTTGTTAGGCTATACATGAGTCAAGCTGCTCGGGAGTAGTTCGAGTTAAGGCTCAACTTGAACTCAAATTCAAAGATACTCATTTCATTAGCTTGTGAGCCGATTCGATTATATATATGTATATATATAATTTTAATAGTAAAATTATATGAATTCATAATATTTTATTATTTATTAAGAATTATTATTTTATTCATTTTTAAAAAATAAAAATAATTATTTTTATTTTTTAAGCTCGAGTTTGAGCTCTACTCGACTCAAATTTGACTTGAGTTTGAGTTCGAGCTTTACATTAAGAGCTCATCGAGCTCGAACTCGATAAAATTAAGTCGAAACTTAATTTGATTCGACCAAAATTCGACCCGATTCAACTCTTTTGCAACCCTACACCTTATTACAGGTGTACTAGTTGCTCTACTTTGAGTTTCTGCCACTGTTCTGTTGGAATTTTGAAAGGCATCAGACTGACAATAGACCTGACTGATCTCATTTGGTGTTCAGGTTGTTATTATGTCTAATAAGTGTACAACTTCATTAATCACCGAAACTGTAAACAGATACTCTAAGTTGCTAAATCTGCAATTGCAGATTGCTAATACAGAATCTATTATATAGTATATACAACAAAGTTAATATGAGAGGACTTCAGGGTAAATGTCTTAAGGGGCAATGCTCACTCAAGACATACTGCTTTATGCATTTGTTAATACTTCCATCAGTGTTCGTTGGGTAAGTAAGAGAAAAGAATACGCTGCTATACACAAACATGGCAGTATGAGGAGCCATCAACGGGATACAAGTTACACAAATCATGATATTGTCTTCAACTGCAATCCCCCAAAGCTTTATACTTGCCTGATCAAGGATCAAACCCAATGGGTTTTATTCATCAGAATATGGTCGTAGACAAAATCAATAGTAATGAAAGATCTTGAATTCAAGGCAAATAAGCATTTAAAAGGAATACCTCGTGTTAGCACTCCTAGTATCCATATACTCCCTGGTCGTCTCTGGCAATTAAGCTGGTCCATAAAAGAATTGCACCAACAAAAGAGAGAATCGTAATTGGCGTCCATTTCAGTGCAATGACCTGTGGATTTTAGAACCCGGAGTATAAGTGTCCCAAGTAATAAGTATAGCTCTGTTCATCATGACAAGCTTCTTACACCACGGTCTTATTAAAAATTCGTTTCTTTTCTATTCTTTGTTTTTGTTCTATTGGAGATTATATCCATACCTCAAGTTTTTTAGAACCCCAGATTTGTGAAACCTGTTCCGATGATTCCGTTGCTCTTTCTAGCAGGTCTGATAATACAGAAAATCATCGCAGCTAATGGTAAATAATCCATTTTGAATGCAAATGAATAGGAGAGGAGAGAACATATTCAATAAAAATCTTACAGGATCTTTTCCTTCTTTTCACTATCTGCGAGAAGTCCTCTGTCACGAAATCCACATTTTGCAGAGATTTAGCATTCAGCTTTGACAAATTTGTCTGCGTCCTAGTATCCACGTACTGCCTTCTAATATTTCCAATAATACTACCTGCTAGCAACAGCATGCAGAGACGGAACAAGTCATCCATCAACTAGCTCAATTTCTTTTATTCTTGAGGGAAGCAAATGAATAGGATTCATTGTGCCCTGAAATGTCTAAGAAACTTTAAACAAAATGGAGTCTGCTGGAGATTACCAAATCTAATGAAGCTGTATGGTTTTGTTATTCTTTCTACAAGGCTGGTATCAAACTTCTCAAATTCTTTAGCCAACTCCTGCAGATAGCAGTGTACCAGTTTCCGCGGATACGATGAATCGCAAAGGGTCATGAAACAAACTCCATGCCCCACTATATAGCTGCGTCAGATCAAAATACCAATAAGAGTTACTCCTTGCTATATTTGAATGACCAACTAATACTACTGCCAAAACACTCTGATGTGCAATCTAGTTTGTCATGAGAAACACTGCAGAAAATATCTACTACACACTAGAAAACCCGAATCAAATCCTTCTGAAAATGTAATCGTGAAGTTCTTTAAGAAACAAAAAGAATTCAAATCTGCAGTGTTTATGTCCATTTAGTTCTTTCATTTTTACCTCAGCCCTTGTGACAGAGAACCAGTTAAATTGTCAGAATGAAGCTGAAAAAGAGCGAATACTTTTGGGGAAGAAAGGCAATACCCGCTTATATATAATTAAAGTAACACCCAAAAAGAGGAAAAATGCAGAGAAGAGAAGGATACGTACTAGAAGCAATGGTGATCAATGCGAATGTTGGCATTGGAAAGGGGGAGGGCAGCTCTTGAGATTTCCTCGAGAATGAACTCTCCTTGTTGCTTGTACGTTGAGAAGCTGTCATTCTCTTCTTCGTTAACGTACCTTGGGCCTTGCGCAAGAGGCAACCCATCACTCACCCTCCCAATTATGGTCAGCTTCACCATTCCTCTGGATATAATATAGTAATTGGAGTTGAAGAAGCAACTAGAAATAGAAGGAAGGAAGTGAAAAAAAAAACGGGTAGAAGGGCCTTTCTTGCTTTTTGGGTTGACCAAATTCTGACGGGTTCTGATGAATGGAGAGCTAAAGAGGAGTTTAAGGAACTTTTTATATGTGCATGGGGATGGATAACCGGATAAGGGAGGCGCAGAAATTGGGCAAATTTTGAGATGACTTAAGGAAGAAGTTATCCTTTGTTTGCTATCAAGATGCCCTTACGCGGTGGAGAAATGCTTTAGGAAGCAAAGGGCGGCGATTAAGTTATACATGGAAAAGCCCATGCTATAACACTTGGGATTCTCGGTGACATTTTTTCTATGCCAATCCAATGCCACCTATAATATTGCACCAAGTGTCCTGTTATTATTTACACTTTAATTTTCTAATAATTCAACTTTGTTTGGTTTAACACAAGTGTAAATAATAACAGGACACTTGGCACAATATTATAGGTGGCATTGGGTTGCCATAGAAAAAATGTCACCGAGGATCCCAAGTGATACTATAATGGTTTTGTAATGGGACGATGAACTACGTACATCGGCGTATGGCAATCGTTAATATATGGGTTAATTACATTTACTTCCCCTGAGCTTTGACCATATTACCAATCAATCCATATAATTTGTCCAAATAATGGTCTCATCCTTTGAATGATCAAACGTTTAACAAAAACCCCTTAATGTCAAAAATGCCCTTTTTGAGGCCATATTGCATTAAAAAAAAAAGAACATATTTTTATTTATTAATCTTCAAGTAATCCAAAAAAATAGAAAAAAATTTTTGCTTATTATTTTATAAAAAATCATATCTTTGCTTCCATAAATAGTTTTGAATCAATAATTATTTTAAATCTTAAAAATGAATATTAAAAATTAGATAAATTGAAAGAAAAATAAAAAAAGAAGAAATTATTTTAATTCCTGAAGTATGGTTCGAATTGAGGAAAACATGTCTTGTGCTCTCCGCAACATGCCTTGAACCACAAATTCGAATCATACTTAAGGATTTAAAATAATTGCTTCTTTTTAACAAATTTTACAATTACACTACTGAAATTATATAAATTTGTACCAAATATTATACTAAGAAAGATCTGGATAAAACTCAATTATACGTACATCCCCAATGGGCCGATTCATTGCAGAAACATCAAAAATCGAAGGGAGAAGTGGCCCGCGGTACACAAGGACACGGACGGGACGGACCTAGGAAAGTTTGCTCGGCTTGGGCCTTGGGTGCGTTCTGTGCGTGAAAAGGAAAGGGACTGAACACTTTAGGACCCAAAATATTTAAGGTAGTGAACGGTACAACTTTTGGTCCACAAGATCCTGAATTTATTTATTGGCCATTTAACATTGTCAGGGGGACAAAAAAGTCACTGTCCCTGTCGAATACAGTTAGTGCTTCCAAAAAAAAAAAAAAAGGAAAAAGAAAAGAGAGAATTAACAATAATGGTCTCAAAAGCTCTTTTCACAAAATGATCTGCAATAATTCACTTACGTACCCGATGTTATACAAACCCCCGTTTGATCTTACATACTTAATTCCTTATTAGAAATGGTAAAAATAAAGGGTTAATCTTTTCTACCATCACATTGTCAGCATTGGATGAATAATAATTATGTAAAATTTAAATTTAAAATTTAATTTTTATATACGTGTTATGAATATAATGATAATAATATATGTATTGTCAGTATATATAAATTTTATTTTAAAATAAATGCATAACAGATACGTATACCTATGTAAAGGGCAACAAAAGATGCCCAAACAAAATGGCATGGTTGGTCATCATATATTACTTAGGAAAGAAAATCAACAAAAGGAAAACAGAAAACTGCTTGTCCCCCGAGGAATATGTTTTTGTACCGTCTGGAATCTGAAACCACGGCGATTCCAGACGTCATTTTCACTGTCAAGTCTGTCACCTTTCAAAAGAACTTCGTGGGTCAATTGGTAATTCAGCAATAATTTAAGGGTCAGTTTGGGATTTTAGAAAAAAGTCACCTGCCATCTAATTGGAGGGAAATTGGCGCCACGTTGACATTTGTTCGCCTCCTCTGGCGTTAAAGTCTCGTCTCATCCAAGTAATGTAAAGACGCGCAAACAAATGCTAGCTGTTCGAACCTCACCTGCAGCAAAAAAATTTAAGGATACGGTAATGTCATAGTACTCACTTAATTTAATTGGGTTTGTATACCCACTAATCCCTGTAACAATCTCCTTAGGCCCCCCTTCTTTTATAGATTAGGATAGAATATGTTATATAAATGTATTGTTGCTGAAAAAAAAAAAATACTAGCTGTTTGCTGGTACTTGACCAACAGGAGGACGAAAAAGAAAAAGGTCAGAGCCAAGCCAACAACGCTACCCTCTTTTCGTATTTCCCTAAGAAAGAAACCAGCCAGTCACTACTGTATCATCGCCACCCCTTTTTTTTTTTTTTTAAATATTTATACCCCATTAGTCTATTTAGTCTAGTCACGAAATTAAAACACAGGTGAAAGAAACAGTAGTAAAACACATGACACGTGTAACAAAACCACCGACTTTGTCACTGTTGCTCCCCGGAAAAGTCCAAGTGGCCTTAGGTAATCTCATCAAACCAACCAGTGTCCCAAACAAAACTAGCGTCGGCACTCTGACGTCTGTGGAGCAGTGGTGTTTCACAATCTTTTAGCCATCTTTTCTGCTGACTCGAGTCATCAGCATTTTTACTACTATGACAGCTAACAGCAAAAACCAACACAAGACCGACGTCCAAACCAATCACCGCTCTCCTCTTGCTGGATTTTCCGGTGAGAATTCGATCATCTTCTTTCTCACACGCTAAAACAGACTCGAGCACAGGACATGTTGTTGTCATGTAATACTCTCTGCGTGTATGTATTAGTAGCAGCATGTGTTCACATATTTGTGCTATTTGTTGAGATGGGATTGCATTAAAATTTTCTGCTTTGACTAAAGGTTGAAACTTTATAGTCATAATTAGTCGTCAGTAAGAAGAATTCTTTTGCTCCTTGAATCATACTTAGTAGTTAGAATGTGGCTCTTGGAAATAAATTGATGTAAAAGTATTTATTGGCACAAAGGAAGGAGTAAATGCAGAGGGGGCAGAAATGAAAGAGATAGAAATGTTGGTACTCTGTTGCAGTGGTCGTCTCTGGATGTCTGTCATAATGACTTCCCTTATTGTATGAATCTGATCCTCATGCATTTATAGTCTTGAGATTCCATTCTTGTGCTTTAAAGTCCTTTCTTTTTTACCTCACAATTTTATCATCTGAAAGCCTCTTGTCCCTCTTCCCTTTTCTTACTCTCTCTTTTTCTTTCTTGTGCACAAGAAAAAACAAAATTTTTTCTTTCTTTTGTTCAAATGAACCAGTGGATTTTTGAAATGTTAAGTAGTGGCAGTAATTTGTTTGTGGGATTTTTTTCTGGGGTTGTAGTTGCTTGAATGAGGAACATGGAAAAGAAGAAGAAACGAGAGACGAAGCAAAAGAAGATGGGAAGATCACCATGTTGTGATAAAGAGGCAGTGAAGAAAGGGGCATGGAGTCCTGAAGAGGACAAGACTCTTGTTGACTACATCAACAAGAATGGGCATGGTACCTGGCGATCCCTCCCTAAACTTGCAGGTTGTCTTCTCTTTCTTTCCATCTTGTAACTTTTTCTTTCTTTCTTTGTTGTCTGAGTGTTTGTGGCATCTAAGCTGACACAAGGCATGGCCCGCATGGGACTGTTTGATGGATCAAGTTGCATCTTGGAAATTTTCTTTTTGGTTGGCTACTGATCCTTCCAGCTTATTTTGCAGCCCAGATTCATTAGACAAAACATGAAAAAATATGTCTAGTTGGTCAGAAGAGGAAAGGTCCATCTCCTTTTTTTGTCTCCTGTCTTTGTGAATCAGCTAGTGAGTAGCGACACGAGGATGAGCTACTCTTCTCATGGACTTTCCCTTCTTTTGCTCACGAATTAAAATTGACACCATGTTATTTACATAAATTCAGGACCTAATTACCAAGAGAAGGCAACAGTTAAATTAGTGTGTTGGAGTATGTTAAATGTTTCAATTTTGTGCTGTTATAGCCATATTATGTATCACCAAGGGCTCTAAGACATGGTAGAAAAAACTTCATGTTCCACAATGGCACAGTTCCAACCTGACAGTAACACCGCTATTCCTCATGTTACACCTTACTATGGAAATTTATCAAATTCGAGGACATTTCTTCCTCTCCATAATACCAATAGTTAGCTCTTGATTGCATCACTTAGAGGTACTTGATGAATAGAGTTGAAACAGTAAATGATGCATTTGTTTTCTAGACTACCGGATTGTTACTTTCTTGGCCCTCATTTCTGGAGATTTAATAGCCACTAGTCAGCATAAGTTGCAAAGTAACTTTTTACATTCACCTAGCCAAATAAAGGCCTAGAACAGGACACCCACGTCTACAGATGGTGTAAATCTCAATGAAATGTATCTAACAAAACTGAAATGTGAATCTTTTTCTGAATCCTTTATTTAGGTCTCCTTCGATGTGGCAAGAGCTGCCGACTTCGGTGGACAAATTATCTCCGTCCTGGTATTAAACGTGGTCCATTCTGTCCCGAGGAAGAAGCTTCTATTATGCAGCTGCATACCATGCTAGGCAACAAGTAAATGATAAATTAAGTTAATTACTCCTTTCTACATGCAGAGTCAATTATATTTTTATCCCATTGACTGGTATGTTGGTTAGCAAGTTAGGCTAGTTGGCTACAATTCTTTCATTATTTTGATGTTTGACGTGCTAAATTTTCTGCCACATCTATATGTTTGTTCAGTTTAATTACATCTTGATGCTGCTGTGTCTGTTACTTTATGTCTTTTGCTTAACATTTTGAGAATTTGATACAAATCATTCCTTGCATGATACAACTATACTGATTAACAAGCCAACATGACTAGCAAGATTTATATACTTAAAAGCTTCTTCTCCTCTCTGTACCACTTAGATCTTTTCTCGGTGGACTATATTGATGCAAGAAACTGGTTAACAGGCTTCTTCTCCTCTCAGTGTTCTGCAATCTTAGTTGACTTGCGTTTCTGGTGTTACAAGCCATGTTTTTGTCTCATGTAACTTTGATTATCCTTTCTTAACTGAAACACATAGGTGGCATGATATTCTTGTGGATGATTTAGCACTACAAGCTTGCTGATGGATATTTTTCTAAGAACCATGATAATGATGACCTCAGTACACTTGCTGCCCTTGGATATGAAAATTTTCCACTTATGCCTCTAATTCCAGTAACTGGTGCCTATTCCTTTCTATGCCTTTTCCTGAATAGCAAAAATTATTGATTCAGTTATTTTGCCTGTTTGATTGGCTATTTTTGTTAGCTTTATGTATCAAATTGCTTGACATTTTATAGTTTTGATATTCAATTCATCTTCTCAAATTTAATCATAGATGGGCAGCTATAGCTTCTCACTTACCTGGAAGAACAGACAATGAAATCAAGAACTTCTGGAACTCGCATCTAAAGAAGCGTGCTAAAGCAAGCCTCGACCAGCCAGAGTCCATTTTAACATCTGATGACTTTGGATTGGAAACTCCATCAACTCGCCACATGGTGCAGTGGGAAAGTGCCAGACTTGAAGCAGAGGCCCGGCTATCAATGGATCCTTTACTTCTGAGCTCATCATCAGCAGCTAAAACGGAATGCGACTACTTCCTTCGTCTTTGGAATTCTGAAGTTGGAGAATCATTTCGTCAAGGAGTGGCTTGTCAAAGTCCTTTGTCTCAAGTGTCATCATCCATAAAAGATGAATCAACTTCTGGAGTTACAACACAGACTGATTCTGCAAGGATATTTGGCTCTGCTGATGCCACTGAAAATCAGAAGCAGGAAGAGCATATGAGCTGCCATAATTCAGAAGAGCTGCTTACTGGTTCTGATTCCTCAAAGTCACATGAATTGGATAATTCCTCAGAAACAAAGATGCGGCTACTGCAAGATTTACCGAATGGTAATGATATGGAATTTCTGCAAGAACCTATTGATGATGTCTCCATGTACCTGCAAGAACCAATTTCACTGACTGACTGCTATCCTTGGAAACAATTATAGTTGTGGTTATAGCAACTTACATCTGAAAAACTGCTGCAGTAATTATTTACATGTTTTGCTAATTACAGCCGCTGGCTGTTTAAAACTCTAAATCAAGGAGCTCTAGTCCCAGAGGACAGTAAATCAGGTAGCAAACCAAACAGTTTTGGCAATTTGTATATGTACTGGGTTTTGGAAAAGGCAGAAAAACTTCTTTCTTTTTTGTGTGTCGTTATTACTGAATACACCTTCTCCGTCATTTTCCATAACCGCTTCTCCCCCTCCCCCTCCCCCTCCCCCTCCCCCAGGGTGAATGCATAATCGATTTTGTTAGGCTTCTTGAGCATTAAAGCCTTCAAGGACGTGCTCTATTTTTTTCTTATTAATGATCTGCGTACAAAATGCTTAACGAGAAATGTGCCAAAATCCTTTTATAACAAGAGGTAGATTAGTCGACAAAACAATATTCAAGTGGACCTGTAACATTCAAATTCTCGATGCAAATTCCTGTATACGTCCGTTCAATACGTCTTCTCGTATGTGATCTAAAGTCTGTATCGCTTTGAGCAAATGTAGAGAAAGCTTGTCGGTAGACCTGCTGCCAGCATTTTTTGTTCCAGATCAGCCAGCATTTCTTGTTTCTTTCTGAGTAAAATATCAAAAAAACCCCTTATGATTTTAAATCATATATTTCGACCTTTCATAGTTTGAACTAATTTGAAATAACAATAAAAAAAATCATCAAAACTAATGGAGGTGGACGAAATGACACCAATTACCCTAATATATATAAATAATAAAAGATCTTCTAACAATCATCCTATTAAGCAAACTTAAGGAAAAACCCCCTATACTTGAGCCAACCAACGTAAATAGGAATAATGTAAGTTGTATTTAGAAGTTCTTATTTATTTATTTTGTGTATAGAAATAAGGTGACTTTCATTTTATGTATAGAAATAAAGTGAGTTGTATTTGGGAGTTTTGGATTGTTTTTTAAAATTTTATGAGTTCTAAAGGTTTGATAGATATATCATCTATCAATTTGATTATTTTTCATATCAAGCAACCTCAAACTTGTTAATTTAGATTATTTTTATCTATTTTTCACATTAATTCAAATCACGAGATATTGGATTTTTTTCTGTATGTTTGCTTAATCACAGCGAATTTTTCTTGTATTATAACTCTAAGGGTATAATAGGTATATCAATTAAAAATTTATTTATTTTCCGCATAAATACTTACAAAAAAAGCACGTGTATTTCAAACCCACTAATTCAAACGATTCCTGTCACTTTTTCAAATTAGTTCAAACCACCAGATTTAAAACTATAGGGATTTTTCTATATATTTATTTAATCTCCCGAAGCTTTTCTATATTTTACACTTTCTTTTTCCTTGGTTTGTCTCCAAGAAAATACATAGAGAAAGGACTAATCTATTCTGAAGACATTTGTGGCACTGCCACATCTGGATTGTCTATCTAACCTAACCTTATCAAGTTTGCAGCGCAAGGATTAGGTTGAAGCTTCTGAGCAATAACAACCCAATCAGCACAGTTCCAAGAAAATGTCTTGGGACAATTTTGGGACCACAAAAAAAAGTCAATAAAGGAGCAAGCACACTTCTAAATTTTTCCGGCAAGCTTTCCATGACAATTTAGTGTTTGCATTCATATCCTACCGAAGATCGACCTTAACAGCTTCGACTACAAGGAACGGTTTCTTCCAATCTTTCTTGTCACAAATGCACAATTCTGTCATCCTCCACATGCTAAAATACATAATTATGCACACCCACCAATATGAATGCTAATTAACGTGGCACAGTTTTTGCAAGCCAAACACATGTATTAATAAATAAAGCAATAAAATGAAAAATTTACAACGCAGATTCCAACAGTTTTCATGTAGACCTGATAATTTTCAGCTTCAGAAACATCCTAGGAGTTTCTTTGGAGCAGTTCCAGTGGCACGGTATTTTGCTGCTGCCTCTTCTGCCTTGAGGAGATCTTCCCCGCGTTTGTACTCAATGGCCGCCTTCTGTTCTTCTGCTGACTTGTGGAGGGCAGCGATCTTATTTTTCATTTTCTCTACATATTCTGCCTTCTGTTTCTCCAGCTTTTCCTACATACCACAAAACCCATGTTTGTCGATACAGATTGAAGCTTCTTAACTGAAGTACCATTTACTTGCAATGGTGCCAGTGGTTTACATACATCTAGACAAGTATGGGATCATCAACCTGTTAAAAATTAAAATGAAGTGGAAAACAAGAGAATGCCCCGCTTGTGGAGTCACATATAACATAATCCTTTGCAAGATTAAATATATGAATCACTTAAACGCAGAAAGTGCTTGAACTTTGACTAATATTCTTTCATTTAAGTAGCCATTTTCTTCAATGGTTCACAGAACTGGCTAGTAAAGCTTTTAACACACTCTATTAACTTCTAAAAAATGCTTTTGAATTATGATTTGTCCCACAAAGGATGTGCTAACATGGAGACTAAAGGACACCTAATGTTACAGTTCTACTTCGGCAAAAAAAATATTAGTGAGGACTTGTTACCTCAATCTTTCTGAGTTCGGCTTCTATAGATGCCTTCTTGCTGTTCTCCCAGGACCCAATGGCTGATATCTTTTTCTGAGCTCTGTCAGCAAAATTCAGATTGAAGGTTGTCAACATTGTCAACTACCAGACCTTCAAACCCCTTCCCACCACGTCAAACAACAAACAAAAAGCAGTAACTGGAATGAAAAAAGCCATTTGGTTATGTGGCTTGGTTGATACCGCATATGGTTTTGTGTGGTAACATACAGGCATTGTTCAAATGTTAGCAGTCAAAAGCTTCCTCAGAGTTTCAAAATGTTAGCAGTCAAAGTTTGCCACCAAGGCCAAAGAAGAGAATTGACCAAAGTACTCAGTATTCTTAGACATCTTTAGTAATACAAAAGGCCATGAATAGACAATAGATGGTGAGTTATCAGGAAAGCTTCTTACTTGTTTTCAGCTTTAGATTTCTCACTTTCTTCCCATGCCTTGATTAAAGACAGCCTCTTCTCTGTTGCCACTCGTGCTAGCACTGCATCTGAGGGAGGATATTTCAAGCAAGGTGAGTATATTCTTACCAGTTCCGCATGGTGAGAATCAGAATGATACGTGTATCAGTACCACACATGCAAAATTATGTTACCTCGGTTAATAGAACCCTCAGCAGGTTTCTCTTCAGCAGGTTCTGCTGGTTCTGCCACAGACAGAAAAAAAAAAAAAAAAAGAACAAACAATTAAAGCACAAAATAGAGGAAGAAATCTGTTCCAATCATTTGAAGGCTCCTTACGTCCAATTAGGTGGGCGATGAGAGATGGTATCAACCCATATGGATATGAGGATTAAAAAAATAAAAAATCACAAAAACAGGGAAAGACAAAAATATTATAACTAGTTTATCTCCAATTTTGGTGTACATTCATTTCAATATGATCAAGTCCCCCCCCCCCCCCCCAATTAAACAAGACTGATAAAAATCAATCAGGAATACAGCCAAAAGTAAATTTAATTCCCACCCCAACCATAAATTAGCAACTTTTAACCATTAACTACACGCTACCAACATAATACTATACTCCTTGAGTTGGGAGAAAAATAACAACTATCATATGCTACTAGCATATCCTCCTTATAATTCAATTTGGTAATTTCATAGACAGTCAGTTTGCTTGAATTATGACCGAGAATCAATTAAAAAACCAATCTTGAAGAATAAGTATGCAACAGAGGTGACTTATTTCCACTCCACCGATGAAAATACAATCAAGAATTGTTTCCAAAATTACCAATCTTGAAGAATAAGCATGCAATATAGGTGGCTTATTTCCAAGCAAACGCAAACTTACCCCAAAATCAAGAATCCATTCAGCTGAAAATACATTTTGTCAGTATTACTGCACTACATACTGATGTCATCCCGAGAATTGTTCCAGAAAACAAAAAAAAGGGAAATCGTAAGGTGAATTGTACTTTACATACATACTTTCAACGATGGCAAGAGCTTTGGAGTCTTCATGTTTCTCCTCAGGAACTGGGACTAGTGGTTTCTCCTCAGTTACTGGGACTAGTGGTTTCTCCTCAGCCACATCTTTAAGAGCTTCAGCGGATTTTGGTCCCTGAGGCGGAGGCTCAGAAGAAGCGGTCTCGGGCTCTACTTTTTTGGCTTCCTCTTCTGCCATGACTAGCAAATAGTGTTGTGCGAGCCTAGCAGTAGAATTAAGCGTAGAAGAAGATACTACTAGCACTGTAGCAAACGAAAATACTAGAAGAGCGGATGGAAGATTTGTGGGGCGGGAGGGGGGGGGGGAGAAAGAGAGAAGAAGGGGATATGGTGATATTATTGGGAGTTGGTTGGAGGAGTGTAACTGTCTTGCTGAAATAGTGAAATGAATTGGAATAGAAACGATGCCACGCCGCTCCTTTGAATCATTTTTGGTGGTGTCGGCCCTACTCTTAGTTGGCACTTACACACCTAAACAAATGCTTAGACCATCTGCACTTGATTGAATCGGGAGAATGATTAAGAATCTTACTCCTCTGTGATGGGGATGGGTAGACCCTGAGTACGATGGTGGAACTTAGTAGCCCTGAGTTCATGGCTATATTTGCTACTAAAATTACAAGGATCATTCATGTACAATCAATGCTCATTTGTCGTCTACAATGGAGTACTAGTAATGTTCAACCGTATTTAATTTTGGAGGGCACCTATCTTGATAGGAAGAGGCGTGTGAGGTTAACTTAGGATCCTAGATGTGTTTGGATAGGTTTTATTTGCAATATATATATATTTTTTTTATTTAGCTACATTAGAAATACATTTTCTTATGTATATTCTTATTTTTTTTAATCACTTTTTTTATTTCATATATATTACATTTCAAGAAGTATCACACTGATCATTCCAAATAATCTCCTATGCAAGCACACTCAATTTAAGCCAACAACCATTTAGTCTGTTGATCACCACCAATACTTTAAGTCTTGATTGTGGGTCGGGTGTCAGGGTTCAAATTTTACCTCCCACCAATAATTATTTGTAGCTTGTCACTTTCAACGACTTCCTCCAACGATGTTTTCCTTCGATTAGGTTCCCCCCTAAAATAAGTGCCTCCTACCAGTCACTATTTGTGATTTATTACTTTCAGTGGCTTCCTCCGACTGCGT